TATGTGATCAAAATTGACACTTATAAAAAAAAAAAAAAGCAAGCTTGAATAAAGAAAAAATATTTAAGTATCCAAAAGTGTAGAGAGTGCAGTCACAAATGTAGAGCCACATTACTATGACACCTCAGAAAACCCCAGCACATCAGCAGAAATTGATCCAGGTATAGAAGTGTTCATTCAGCATTATATTCCAAACAGAGCATTTGTGCATGAATTTTCTTTATTGTGTTCCTGTCTTTGCTTCTCTACAAGTGAAGGGCAGAAAGACCAGCACGGCATCGTGGTGCTAAGCTCCTCGCATTACGACAATTTCCCACAGCGTTCCAACAGCAGCACCTCTTGACCAGCAGCCAAGTGAACTAAATTCAGGCCAGTCACGTGCAAGTGGAGGACATTATGCTTCTTTCCCAAAACCGCAACTGTCTTCAGCTTGTTTCCACAGCAGCGTTCACAGAAAACACAAGAAATCAAAGAGACAATGCACACAATGCACAGAAGCTTCAACCAAAACATAGGAAGCCTATTTCATGGCTGTCTTAATTTCACTTTAAATTCTACTAGTATAGAACACAGAACACAAGCAGTTAAGATCTCTGATACAAGGAGTAAAAGAAAATTGAGCTTACACTGGTACAGTCTCATTTCAGGTACAAATGGGCTCTGTTGGACTTGGGGCATTGAATAACTGAGGGTATTAACATCTATTCCTTGCTCATCACACACTTAACTGAGGCAACTTTGGGCAAGTTATCAGCTCTGCTTCATCACTGAAACAGAGATAGAATTCTTCTGCCTCATAGGCAATGCTCAAATTAATCTTTATAAACTGCCTGAGTAGTCAGGAGTTTAATATTAAATATTAAAATTAAAGATTTTTAACCAGGTAAAATGTAAAAGAATAAAAAACCCTTCCACTAACAAATTCTGAGCTATTACCTAAATCACACAGAAATCCCTCCAGAAAAAACCAAAAAAAGTATGAATCCATTTAATTACTTCCCTAACTTCTGAAGTTTACTTATTATTTCCTGCCCTCTGGAGCATACATGCGATTCTATACCTCTTTTCAGAACAGTAAGCAAGTCAAAAAAAGTTGCCATAACTGAACGAGCAGTGGTCAAACATGAGAGAAGGGCTTGTTTGTGCCTGGGAAGCACGGGAGACAGAAAGGAAAGAAACAATTAAGACAAAGCAGGTTAGTAAGGAAGGCACTTATTAAAGAAAAAAAAGCACTTGCCATAATTTATTTCCTATTCCTTTAGTTCTCCAAGGCAAGCAAGGGGGAAAGATAGATTTTCTTGGAAGATGGAATGAGGTCAAGGAGTTAACTCGTACGTGTACTCGCCAAGACCTTTTCAAAAACAATGGAAAGTACAAAAGGAAAGAGGTTTCTTTATAGAGGAAAAAAAGGATGTAAAAGAACCATCCATAACTGACATGAAGCAAAAATATGGAATGTGACCAATCTGTAACAACATGACGTGAGCCCTTAAATGCAGGAATAAAAACCTGAAACAATCCATAGGGCATCAACCAAGCATGTTGTAAAGGGAGTTTGCATCCAAGAGTAATAAAGACAAGTACGGAAGACACATAGAAATCATGTATGTCTAAGTTTTAGCTGAAAACATTTGGCGAGTTCAAAGCATGAGGGCTAAAATAAGATTAAGAAAAAGCAGTTTAATGAAGTATCAGGAAACACTGTAGGTTTAGAGGGAGGTCAGACCATTAGTTCTTTCACACTTTATTCGCATATAGGTATCTGAATAATTAGTAGCTTGATGATACTGACGTATTGAAACACTGAAGAAACCCACTGCACAGTCCATTACTTTGATTTTCAAATGTGCCAAATAAATGCAAAAACATAACATGAAAGCAACTGCACACTAATTTAAGAAAACAGAGCTTCCTCAGCCCTCCAAAGGAGGCACAAGAAGAGGGTGTCACAGAGGTAGAGTGCCAGCATCAGTAGAGACCCTGGGCTGCCTTAACTTCTAGTGCGAAATTCAGTCCCATTAGTAATAACTCTTATATCACAAGTTCTTCCTGGAGAGAGAAGACAGTTGTGTAGTGCAAGAATAAGCAGCAGCTAATTCACATTACATTTAGATAATAAATTTTTGTGGCAGTGCAGTGATTTTTTCCTGTAGTTGCATAATGCCTACTACTATAAAGAGTCCAGGAGCCAATGAGTATAAAATGTAAAAGTTATTAATGATCAGCCCACACAGCAACATTAGGAAGGGTAAACCAACACACCCAATATAAATGCTCTTACACAAGAAATAAAGAATTTATAGTTTCTTTGTGGACAAGCCCTTATTCATATTTTATAAACAACACAAACCCAACATACATATACAGTACAGAAGATCCTGAAACAAAATTTTATAGTAAGAACACTTGGAGGTTTGTGAAGTTCTCTTATCTGCATGCACTATAGATCTTATTAAAAACTCCAGACAAACCACAAAGAGTAACTCACCAAAAATTAAGGTTTTCTTAATGTCTCTGGTGAAAGCACAAAATTGTGCAGGCCCTGGCAGGTGGCAAATTATGAACTCCTCTCACTCGTGTGTGCATTTTCTTTAACACACATTGTTGATTAGCAAGTACTAGACTCGCATGAAAGTAAAAATCTGACTCTTAGATTTATGCTATTAACACTAAACCTACAATACTCATTTGTGTATAAAAATAATTTCAAGTACACCTGTCAAACAAAACATACATTTCTATAATTAAGAGAAAAAATAAAAATATCAAAACTTGTGTGCTCCATTAACTAAGTCTCGTATACAACAGAGAATAAATTAAAATGTAAGTTATTTTTAACACTACACTCTCCAAAGAGAGAAAACGGAGACAAAACTGGATTATACAAACAGTTTGGCAACCTACATTTGAATTCTAGTCAGAAACTTTGGGAGTGACTTCTCATCTATCTATATAAACAGATCATAGAATGGCCTAGGCTGGAAGGGACCTTAGAGATCATCTAGTCCAACCTCCCTGATGTGGGCAGGGACGCCACCAGATGCCACATGTCCTTCTGCATGTATAGCAGCTTTCACATAACATGGTTTCCTGAAGTTCAAAGTTTAGCAACAGAATTTACAGATGCCAAAATTGAGACTGAAAATTTGTCAAAACGTTGCTCAAATGCTAACTACCAAGTTCCACCAAGCTAGTGAACAGAGCAGAAAATGATCCAAAATTATTTTCTTTTCAATGGTTCAAAAAACTGTCCCCTCTTCTAAGCTTGACAGGTAAAACTTCACTGGAAAGAGCAATATCATTTAGTGAAAGGAATGCAAGGGAATGTAAGAGTTGATAAATATTATGGGGAAGGGAATGTGTTTCAATGCCCTTAGTCAAATGCACTCTTATCTCAAAATTTTAAATTGTAACCCTTTTTGATATTTTATAACAAGACTTTTGCTTCAATGTGAAAACGGACAGCCATGCCAGACCCATCCTTTAATTTCAAGGCATTACCAGTTTGTCAAATTCACACATCTCTACCTTATCAAGGACACAACCAGTTACGCAGGAGCTGGGAACTTAACAAACCAAACCTAGAGTAGGGCGGGGGCTACAAAATAACAAACCAAACCCTGCCACATGCAATAACTTGTCCTAACTTGGCAAGACTGGGTGTCTATGGGTTGAAAGGCTTTGCTGAGACAGCAGAGCAGCTCCAGCGCCGACACCAGGGCAATTCCCCTGGGGCAGCTCTCCACTCCACCGACTTGGCCCATCGTGCTAAGACGGCTTATGGCATTCCATGTTCTAGTTTACACTTAACATGACATATGCTAGTTACCAACTCAACAAGCCTAACTTGGCAAGACTGGGTGTCTATGGGTTGAAAGGCTTTGCTGAGACAGCAGAGCAGCTCCAGCGCCGACACCAGGGCAATTCCCCTGGGGCAGCTCTCCACTCCACCGACTTGGCCCATCGTGCTAAGACGGCTTATGGCATTCCATGTTCTAGTTTACACTTAACATGACATATGCTAGTTACCAACTCAACAAGCAAAATTTAAGGCACGTTTTTTGTCTGCGCTTTGATCAAAAGCTCCTTGAAACAGCAATTCTTCCTACATGTCAAACACCTCCCCCCCCCCCCCAAAATTTGCACATTTTAAATACGTTCATAAACCTGTATTTTTAGCAGAAGGCAATCCTGTGTGGTATTTCAGTCCTTTGTTTCTCCTGACTATACAACACTACCATCCAATTTACTTTTGTCTAAGTTGAAAGAACACACGCACACCAAGGTGCATCTACGGGACAAAAAAAAATAAAAACAACAACAAAAAGATCATGACCACGTGAGGACAATGAACTATAAGGTAACTGGTATTTTTAAAGTGCTACTGTTAAATATATAAAATGAAAAAGATGACAAGGGATTCAAAAACCAATTGAATATGAAAGTAAGAGAGATAAATGGGCTTAGTCTTCCTAAATTCATGATGAAAAAGACAGACTCGTAGTACATTGTCTCCTCCTGTCATTAAATAAAGAAAACTGTAATCTGTGCCCTAATCCTTTTAAGTTTGTCACGGGACCACACAAAGACTGACGTAATACATATTCCAAATACATTAGCAGATGCTGTTATTCTTTACTCCAATATTGAAAATAAAGAGTTTTGATTTGATGATGCTAATTTAGAGGACTTCCAAGTCCCTCTACACCAATATGATATGGAAGGCCACAGGCCACTAAAAATTTTGTATTTCACCACAGAATAAGCAAATAACAGCTTCTTACATCACTATTTCAATCACAACTTCTTCATATTGTGTTCTCACTATGTTCAGGCCTAAAAGCCCCTTACCCTCCTTGTAAGAGTATGGATATCGACTGCACAAACTCAACCTCATTTTTGTAACTTAGAAGCGATAATCAAAAAGAGCAACCATAAGATTTCCATAAAAATTTCAGTTACAATAAATACCACATACTGCAATGATCTAATCAAAAACTTAAAAAAAACCCCAACATTTTTATTGAAAAATAGTAACAACATATCAGACCCTAAATCTTCCACCTTTAAAAGTCACAATTTGATCAACCAGTTGCTGATTGGGTTCCATTCAATATTAATACAGTATTACATTTAAATTACGCTGACTAGACAATTAACAAAGAACCACTAATCTCAGATCAGCCACACGACCGATATTATTGAAATGCCCAAATTAGTCTTCGGCCATGTCCCACTTGGAGCACAGCTTCTCAGCAGTCTGCCAGGAGCTGCTGTCCTTCATTGCCTGACAAAGCCACATAACAATAGCCCACACCACCTCTTACGACGAATTCAAGTGCTCTGAAGAAAGGGCTCACAAAAATGTGCATTTCTAGCAACTTGCAAGCAGACAATATGCCTTCAGCTCCTTTGGTTTTAATAGTGTTCCCTTTGGAAAGTGAATCAGTTGAAGACTGTTCCAATAAAATAATAAGTCTTAGTCTAGCCAAGGCATAAGCCACCGTCTATACAGTTTGTGATAACGTCCTTGTTTTTCTTTCTTCCACACTTTTTTTCCAAAGACCGTGCAGTGAAGGCAGTTTGAATTTATCCATATTCTTACTGTAAACATTAAGAAATATACCAAGGACAACCAGTAAGCCTGACCACACATACCTAAAGGGGAGGAGGGGGGGGAAAAAAAAGAAAGTTACCATTAGCACTTTGTCTGCAGCAATTACATAGCAATATTTGGGGATTAAATAAAAAGAAAGCTCCTATGTTAAGGAGAAAAGAGTTTAAAGAAAAAAAAAAACAAACCAAAACCAAACCACATCACTAATTATTGCACTCGAAGAAAAAGTTTGCTTGAATCTTTATCATTACTACCTTTCCACCCTTCCTTTTCCCATCCTGGATGGAGAGCTCAAGGTGCATTTATAGTTAACTAACAACTCTAGTTGTTCCTTCTCACAGTAATGCAGCAGTCCTGAGGAGGTTATACTATTTTTTTCCTTCCCCCAGTTATGAGAGCTATGCTTTCTATTACTGGTCCAAAACGTATGCTCATTCAGTGCCTTATATCTATACTTCCCAATGTACGCACCTTTTAATATCAGTTCTCCATTATTTTAATGCTCAAGGTTTTTAGCTGGAGTAATTTCCCTTTCAGCATTTGGCTGTGAGCTTGGTTCTTAAATTTCAAATAAATTTATACATAGCAATAAATTTGAATATTATTTTCCTCAAACCACAAGCAATTAGGATCAATGTGGCAACTTAGCCGCATTTTTCATTGTCAGCTCTTCCTCGAAATTAAAAAAAAAAAGCAAAGAAACCCAAGCTCAAAAATCTTGCAATTTAATCTATCTAGATAATAGAAGCTTGCAATTATTTAAGAGGACTAGTTAAGAACTCAAACCTGAGCTCATAAAAGCAGAAACAATATTGTAACGGAGAGAATGTCTTTCTTTAGATAAATATTCCCCCACAAAGAAGGTACACAAACAATTTATTATCATAAGCAATAGATCTTTTATCAGATTTTTCTTAAAACAACAGAATGCCGACAAGTGGAACAGCTTTTCTTCCAGACCTTTAGAAGAATAGAAACTTTTCTCTAGCATGATTAGCATCAACAGGCTAGTCAATATTTACAGCAGATTGCCAACATTTGTGGAAGACAGGAAATTAAAAGTATTAAAGCCTGAATATGATCAGTTACTGTTCTGTTTCCACAATCAAGACCATTGGTTTTTTTTTATAAAATATCCCATTTAAAAGTGTAAATACTTACTGTAACGTGAATGGTTTTGCAAAGAACAAAAAAGAAAGCACAATAGTCATTGCTTTTCTTCCTGTTGTTACTGCAGAGGAAAACAAATATTTAATATTTCAGTCACAGCAGAACAATATAATAGAGGCTTCAATATTAGTAGATAACATCATTACAAAATTAAGAGTGTGCCAGCAGAGATTGCAGATGTACCAGTCAGTGCAAAATACCGCTACAACCATATACTGTTTGAAACCAGTAGCACCAGCTGCTGTCACCGTACCTGCAGCAGAGAAACTCCCAGAACAAGACTCATTATTAAATAACTTCATGCTAATCAAGTCCAAATATCTAAAAGCAACAAGTTAACTGATGGTATAAACTAATCTGTTGAAGCAGAAAAAAGTGGTATCACTATTTGGATACAGCAAATCTCTTGCCGTTTTCACCTCATGTTTTAACAGCTCAGTGGTGTTTCGGGCTTTATTTTTAAGTGGAATAGGATCATGGTCTTTTCATTCTTCTGAAGTTACAGTAAATGTACCTAACAATGCAGAGAAATACAATTTTGGTTAAACACCTAAGAGACCAAGGATCTCTCACTTTAATGACTGCACTAGGAAGTTTCCAGCAAAACCATTAAGAGATCTTCTTCTACAAGTGATCTCATCACTCAAAAGAATCAAGGTAGTAAGACGAGTTGAGAACACAGTCCTGTTGCTAAAATGGAAGTAAACTAACTGTTTGGGTTACTCTCAAATTAACTATATCTCCAACAATTATTTGAACAATTTCAACCCTATGTACTATGAACAAGAATATAGCATTGCTAGCAAACTCTGCACTGGAAAACCTATATAATTTATTACTGAAACAAAAATCAGTAAATGAGCAAAAGTTACGTAAAGCATTAAAAAAACCCAAACAACCAAAACCCACCAATGCAGCCTGGTGTACAAGTTTAGCTACGGATGCTACGAGCCTGAGAAAGTGTTATTCGATATGATAGTGCAGGCTTCTGACTTAACAAAGATCCCAGCACAATTGTTCGCACCCAAAGAAAACTCTGTCTTTTTATTAACAGAAAGCACATTTTATTATACTGGAAAGCCTTACTGCTGTAACTACATCCATATTAAGTCTGACTGTAACCTACTGACAAAAGGGAACAATGACTACTGATGCGCTTTTACATTGTTATGGCCAGTAAAGCAAATTTCATCCTCCGCAACCCTCCTCCACAAACGAATGTTTACTTATAAGAATGTTTTGTAGAAGAAGAAACAGCCTTCACTGGCATTTTACCTGCCCCCATCTCAACTTTTTAGCAAAAATTCTCTTTACATTTTAAGAAATTTATGCACATCAAATAAAATGATTTCCTATTACATGAAAAATTAAAGGAGAATGAAAAAGAAAATTGAGTTTTAATTAGAAAACAGTTTACAGATGAATAATTTAAAAAAATGGTTAAATTACTTTAGTTTTTCTAATTACGATTATTTCTATTCTTTCAATTCAGTTATTAATTAAAATATTTATGTAACCATTTCCTTCTGAATTAAGTGCCTTTTCTTCTTTTTCCCAATTAAGCCTGATAATTTCTCATTCTGCTAATAGAAATACAATTTTCATTAAACTCCTTCACCCCGCTCCCCCTCAAGAAGGGGGAGGGTGGATGGGGGTAGGAGGAACAGTAATGAATGTGGTGTTCTTCCAAGGCACAATAAACATTTTCACATTGCTACAGGCAAGACAGAAAGGGCTCAAGTGTTAGGATTGTCAAGGTCAGGCATGAGAAAACCTGGAAAGGGTTTGCTATTCCACAGCATTTTTTTTTTAGCCCAGTAAGATTTATTTATTTTTTTTTAAAAAGATATTTTAATACATGAACCAACTCTCTCATCTAGGCCAATTTCCAGTCAGGAGACATACTGAACATTGTTAAAAACAAACATGAAACAGAAGCGCTGCAGAGGAAATTAATTCATAGGAAAGCGGAGCACGCAATCCTCAGGTCAGAAAATCACCATCTGTATTTTGCTCTTCACTACTGTGAAGGAAGGAGAGCATCACCTGACAGGTGAAGACAGAGGTCTTCACATCTGTTTCTCCTGTCACAGGTGATAGAACCATATGCTGTACTAGGCACTTCACAGCAAACATGACTGCTTCCACTTTTTTGTGGGACAATGACATGGGAAGCCTCGAACATCCTCTCAAGACCAGGCAGGGCCTGCTTCTGTCATTAAAAACAGGATCTTTACCTGTCCCATGAATTCGCAAGTTGCCATTTAGAAGCAATAGAGCAGCTGTTACACAGCCTGCCAGAAGTTTGTTTAGCTCAAACCACGACTTCCAAAACTAACACATGCCCTTTATCTCCTTCAGTTTAATAAAAGAACTGAGGAGATGATCACAAAAGCCCGAATTCATTCCACTCCAGCTCTTCATGAACCGGCTCTGCAGTGCACATGGAACGTTGCCACCGCGGCACTCCACTGAGCGCGTATGGACATTCAGAAGCTCTGACGGACTCTTTCACGGGGTTTTAGCAACATCATTTACTGGAAAACTCCAGCAATTCTGTGCTTAAGACTGTTACACTGTCTACTATGCTTTACTGAAACATCCTTCTCCTTCCATATCTCAAATAATACCTGTCTTTGCCTTACACCTCGCTATACATTTTTGCATTGCAATTCTTCTGTTTAGAACCATGTGGTTTCTGCATTAAAACACAGCCCAGGCTACATGCACGATACTTAACATATTCTTCAAGGTTGAAACTGTGGGAAAGAAAGAACATGAAGCTCCCATATTGCTCGTGAAGACTCATGCTATACAAACCACAGTCAGTACAAAGAACAGGATAAAAAAGCCAGAGTAAGAACAATTCTGAAAAGCTGTCCTAAATAATAGAATTGGATTACCTTATGTTTTTATACCAAAAGCAGTAAAGATATCATTTGATCATACCTGTTACAGCCAGAAGGGCACCAAAGATTTTAATCAACGCTAGAACAAAGGATATTCCAAAATACCCAGTCAGGGAGAACAGGAATGCATAACCGTAAGTCTGAACCGGGTGCTGCAACAACAACAACAACAAAAGAAGCCCGTTAAGAAAATGTAAAACAAACCCTGAGGTATTGCAAAATGACTTAAAACTACAGACTTTAATCAACTGCTTGAGCAATAACAAGCTGTTCAACAATGCATTCATGCAAAGATTCTTATTTAATTTTAGTTAAATAATGGAAAAATAATAATGAAATTAATCGTAAGCTCATAGGTCTGGTCCTTTGATTCTGTTTCTCAAACCATTACCCTACCTTACACATCAAAGACTGTAACTTGCTTAATGCACGAGTTATACAAGTTAATGAGTTCACATGATGAACATAACTTTAGAGAAGTGGTGAGATTTTCTAAACCATAGAGAGCAACATTTTCCAATGAGGTTCTTCATAGAGGAAAGGAAATCTTCACACCTACCTTTGAGCAAAATGTTACTGCAGGGCTTAATCCACTAGTGCATGTTAATCCAAATAAAATATACACAAAACCTATTGAATAGGAATACAAAACCTAGAATAGTTTAAGAGAAAATAATTACCAGGTGATACTATACAAAAAGACATAATTAAATGCTTTCAAATGCTTGGCCCTATTAATATATTCAACTTCAGAGTTGAATTTGCAGAGTTTGAAGATATTTTTTTCTCTAACAGCTGATGTGCAGTGAAAAGCAGACAAGTATTAAGAGACATTCTTCCTACCCACAACTACATAACAAACCATTCTGTAAGCTAGTCAGTTAATAATATCCTGAGGTCAATGCTGACTGTGGTAAATCCTTTAAATTCAGGATTTCACAGTCTAAATAAAGCTTCACACAGCTATGTAATTTAATAGTTTTAATAATATGTTAAACATATTTTAGTTTTTGCTACTTATCCTGCACAGTAAAGACTCACACTACACTAAATGCACCAAGGGTAGCACATAATCACCATGAACTGCCAGAAGCGTCAGAGAAGTTTCATCCCTGTCACTTCAGTTCACACACACGGTGCCACCTCTTTTACGGTTACAGGATACAAGATTTTCAGACATGGCCAGCTCTGGCCTAGTTCAGTGCTCAGAACAGACTGTACTGAGCTAACAGGTAAGCTCTTCATTTGTCTGTACCCTTATTTAATTCTCAGCTTCATACAACAACAAAAGAATCTTCATCCCATCCCTTCCCACGTCAAGGCGACAACAGAAGCTGGAACTGCCCATTCGTCCTTCCACGCAGCAGGAAGGATTCAGCTCTTGGGGCAACATTTAGTGGCCTCTTCTTGTGAAAAAGGGAGATGGTGAACAGAACTGTTCTAGGCATTAGGAGCTAGAACACAATGATCTACCCCACTTGAAAAACTGTCAACAACAGGCCTACTTCTTTTCACAAAGGTTTTATCAGTTGTTTTCTTGTTATATTACCTCAATCATTTGCAAAAATAAATCTATTGACTGACAACAATGCCAGGAGACAACTTGCGAGTGCTCTACAATAAAGGAAGCTGAATATACATTTCAAGAGCAGAACTACTTTCAAACTCTTAGAAAATACAATGACTTCAAAGCTCTTATTTTACAGTGTACATACATACAGAAGTTAAATCTCTAGTTCTTCATTTGCTCCTGCATCCAGCTTTTCTCCCAAAGTACCCAAAGAATTCACTTTTTACAACCAGGAATGAACACGACATGGTTAGTTCCTTGTTAGGCAGTGTGCTATCAGTCATCTCCTTAGAATCACATATAAAGCAAAATCAGGCATAACCTTCCAGAGCAGTGGTTAGGATTTCATCTGCAAGAGATTTTATTATTTTTTTTTTTCCTAATTTCCACAATTGCTTAATACAGGGCAAATTCCAAAGTTCTCAACGAAAGACAGATCCCATGGATGACAGGTTCCTTCACTATCCCATTTTATTTCCAGATCTGTGTCCATTAAACCCGATCTCCAACTTGGAAGACCTCTTAAATTTTTTACTCGCCATCTCAAGTATAGAAAAAGGATTTCTGAAATTCTGCTTGTAGTTCTGCACCAAATTCTCCAAAATCCTGAAGTGTAATCTCTAGGCTTCAAATAAATAAAACCTTTTATATTCTTAATCACTGCACTGATTCTCTAGAAATAGGACTATACAATACGAAGACCAACATTTGTCAGACTAATGCAGGATAAAAAGCAAAGTTCACGAGGTAACAGGAGCTTTGTAGGCAAGGCAGTCAGATGACTCTTGGAGAGACGCAAAGCGGGCAAAAAAGAAGCTGCAGATTGTACTTTGTTTTGGATTTCAGAAATTACAGTTATAGAAGGCTACACTGGATCAGGTGAGATCCGTGCAGCTGAAATCTCTGCCTCCAGCAGTAAACTGTGAATACTAAGAAAAAGAACAAAAATAAAACCAAGAATACAGTGGTGCTTTTCAGGTATATTCTACTTTCCAAAAACTTCCAGCTCAAACTTCTTGAGCCAATCTAAATCACTTTCAGCCTTAACTGAAGCTTACTTCTAATTTTGTCTCCATTTATAAAGCTTTTCTCATAAATTTGGAACTAGATTTTTGTAGGTCAAACATGTAAATTAAATTGCAATAATTTTTTACTTGTGGCAGAACAGATATTATTTGAATAAAAGAACTTTTTGTATTTACTTTATAGGATAATAGGCCAAATTCAAACATAAGTTTTGACTAAAATAAAAAGTCAGATCAGATGAACAGATAATCCACATTCCAAATAAGTACATGAAAAATACTGAGCAAGAAGTTTTCCAAAATTATGTATTTCACTGAATCAGGAACATCCAAATTCATCCATTCCAAAACTCAGATGTTTAGGGATTTCAAAAGTTTCGAAAAAGGCTGCTTCCCTAATTTTAGCACACGCTAGAATTGGAAGTCTAGGAACTAAGACAAGCAACGTGTCTCCCGTAATACATGCTCATCTAGACCAGATATCTATTTTTCAGAGACTAAGTGCATGATCATACAGAAAACACTCTGCTGACTCCAGACCTGCAGGATAGACAAAGAAATTGTTGCTGAAACAAGTGGTTTTGTAGCTGCAATATACATCTGAAATTGTACACAGGAAGTGGCACCCTTGAAAGTTTAAAAAAAACACAACAAAACCAAAAAATAGGTGTCCCCAAACACACAGAAAACCCCAAGAACAGAACACCAAGAGCTCTTCTTTACATACTCAAGAGAAAAGCAATTTAAGTTTCATGTTTTGTCATCATATGCCTTGTCTATGATAGAACATGTTCTTTTAAAATTGCAAATCTGGTATTTACCATTTCTGAATTAGAACCATTGTGCAACTTCATAGCTTTTTCCTGTACATTTCCTATAACTGCATCTGCGCAGAGGGCAAGGGATATTAGGACCACACCTAATATAAGAAACAAACAAACAAAAACCTGTTCAGAATATTTATCATCAGAGTAGTGATGAAAACCACTCTGTATTTATCCTGACAAAAATACAGAAATCTCAAGAATAGAAAAAATAATAAATAATCCTCTATATTACATTCTGAGTGCCAGTAAAACTATTTTATTATACCACTACAGCTCAATGTTCACCCCCACTCCCTCCACCAGTTAGCCCCTGAGCACGGTGCGTCTCTAAGCTTGACAGGAAAATCTGGGCATTGCTACGAAGTCAGCTGTAGTTTTTGTAGTAATAAAAGTGAAAGGATATCAATTACATTTACGTAGTTATGTTTAAGGAAGATAAATAACCAAGGAACAGACTCTTTTGAGTAGTTAACCCTAGATTGTTTTCTCCCGACAAAGATAAATAGAAATGTTAGCTGTAATGGTAAATTCATTACTGAACTATCAATTAAAAAAACCCAACCATTCAGGTACAACCCTCATGGTTTTCGGTTACATACTTGCTCACAACAAAGTCACTACAGAGTCAGTAACATAATTGGTTTCCCCATAACAAAAATTAATAACTACCCATGCCAGTCACGGTTCACTTCCTAATTCCCAAACTTTGATTCTTCCATGACAGTAGCAAGTGTTGCATTCAAGGATGCACACAGGTCTGAAACACCATTTTTTCCTAAGTATACAACATTACAGAGGGTATCAGTCATCAAAATCTGTCTACTGTCTGCTCTAGTATTGGTTCCTTAACACATCTTCAGCGTCAGGGAAGATCGAGGAGTGGAAGGCTAGAAACAAGCAGTGTTATACATTTCTATATATTTTCTTCTTATGTTCTTACTAGCAGAGGCCTCAAAATGGGCATTTTGTTGGACCAAATGCAGTATAAGCTCCTGATAGAGAAAAAAACCCAATAATTAGAAAAAAAAAAAAATCAACCAAACAAACTCCTAGTTCCTAGAATTTTAATAACTGAAGATTCAACATTTTTTAGATGCAAAAAGTTTAACGTGGCATCTCCTTAGCAAACTTCTGGATCTACAGGAACTTCCAGCACGTCTAGCTGGGAACAATTTCCTTTCCCAGGCTAGACTACTGCAACAGAAAAGGACTCTTCATCATTCAGTTATCAGGCATTAACAGAGGTATTAGTCAACGGAAATGACACAATAGCCTGAAAAACATTGGTCATACTGAAGCCCAGAGTACAGCTACAGAAACTACATAGCTTCAGCTCTGGTCCAAAGGAACAATACTTTGCAGCTCAGCCACAGTCTTGTTGTAAACTCTTCTGCAAAGTGACCGAGTACGTCTCCATCGTGTTTGTTCCAGCAGTGCTTGATGGCCCAGGCACATCACTGGACAAATGCAAGGGTTCACTACTGGATGGAAACGAGAAGGTTAACTGAAATCTGAAGTGCAAGTGTGCACAGAAAGGAGAAATGTAGGGACAAGAAAAATGTTAATATTATATACATAGAGAGTCTGAGGAGAAAAATTACTCCATTCATTGTGATAGTGCTGCACCTTCTGAGCAGCTGCAGCACAACCATGACCACCACCAGTAACATTGTGTGGTATATAAAGCTGAAGTAAAAATGATTGGAAGAAGCGATCCTAAATTAGTTCTCAAAGAAATCAAACCTGGAGGTCTTGCTCCAACAGACCTGACTGACATCCTACATTACATTGTGTTTTATGCTATTAATGTGATGCTTAAAGTCATTAAAATACTAACATTGCTTATACATTTATAATCTATTGGATATTTACATGAGTTCCTCAACACCAGCAGGCTGTGCTGCCATTCAAAGAG